TATTTTATAATTATGAATAAGGAAAAGATAAAAATATATTTTATCACACATTCATGAATTGATCAAAATACTACTTCTAACAATTAAGCTAATTTCAAATATGCTCAATATAATTTTAAACCATCTTACCGGAATACGTTTTGTTAAAAAATTTCTGGTTAATTTTACAAATATAATTTTTTTTATAACATTTTACAAATATAATTTTTTTATAACATTTTTTTTTATTTTATCCATTTTTTTTTTATATATATATATATATATATATATATAAACTAAGAGAAGTTAATTATTAATATCACCAAAATTATTTCAATTTAAAAAAAAAAAAACAAAATAATGTACAAAGGGAATGGGGTGGGCCATGGAAGACAAAAAATAAAAAATAAAAAAAAATCGCAAGATAAAAAGTGGGGGACAAGTAGGGATTCTTTCTCCCACTCTCTTTATGTGCGTGAAACAACACACAATAATAAGTTTAAAGAACGTATGATACACGACAACAATCTTTCCTTTTTTCTCTTTTATTTTCAATTTTATTTTAGAGGTTTGGGAGAGGTATAGAATTGAACTACCGGTTTGAATTTTCAAACCTCAAACCTCCCTATTCTAATAGAAAACCTACAGCTTTAAAAATACAAACCTCTTCCAAAACCTTCTATAAGAGATGCTCTTAGTACTTTTGACTGCAAATACAATATTATCAGATTGTAAAAGAAAAAAAAAAACCACAGTTTTATATACTTTTAAAGCCTCTTCATAAGCATAAGTTTGGGAATTGAAAAACCGGGCGATATTTAATGAAGACACGTGTGAAATGCAAAAATCCAAGTACGAAGGACCTAAGTAACAGTGGACTTCCTTATAGCTCACATAACATCATGAAGTGCATTCAAATCTCTATTTCTTTTTTGTGAAAGCGCGCCTGTGACTCATTAAACTCTTACTGAATAGCATAAAGTTAGTTATAACTAAATCATATATTCATATTAGGTTCTTTGGGCGTTCAAAAGTAAGGCCCAATATGCAGTGGAATTGTCGATGATAGAGAAACATAAAAGCAAAAAAGAGGGAAAGGAAGTACGTGCATGGTCGTGTCTAGCAAGAGTTGTGATTCTCAAGTTATTCGTCTTTGACAGAAGCACACAAGACATGGTTGTTTATTATTAATAGAAAATGTCAAAAATGGAGAGGAAAATTGACCATTGATGCCACTTATGCAATGGAGTTGATGCCATTGTAAGCAAAGGCGATTCAGAGCAGGATTAATACTCTAAGGAAAACCCATATAAGAACGTAGAAAGCCATCTATAATACTCAACACATACATAGAACGCTTGAATAGTTAGTCATTCGAAAAATAATCTCTCGATTAACTCACAAGAAGCATTAGTGTCGCATGTCGCATGTGTTATCTCATCAATCATATAATATGAAGTGTAATATGATCACAAACTAGGATAATATTGTATTGGAAAACCTTTCGACTTTATCCTAATAATAAAATGACGTTCGATTCTTATTCTTGTGCATTACTAAAGAGAACAATGACGATGACGACCGTGTAATTTTGGGTAGCGGACCGAATAAATCTGTGGAGATGGTGATTGTGAGGGAATATGATGTATTAATTGTTAGTGAGAATGGGGAGGTAAATATTGGATGTTACTCTACCAAGTTGACATCCATGCATAACAAATCTCATCTCAATGTTTATAGAAATCAATAAACCAAATATATATGCATATTTTCCATGATTTTCCAATAAAATATTTGATTAATGTGATCAACTATAGAAAATTTGTATATAAATATGCAAGACTAATTGCAACGAAATATTTCATTAAACTATTCTTCTATGTAATCATATAATCGGAATTCAATGATTTCGTTAAGTACAAATTAGATGTGAGCTATTATATGCATGTCATCAAAAATATTTATGTTAAGTAAGGAACATCTCATTTTCTGGTTGTTCTTACCAACAACTAATATTTCATCATCTTCTCTCTCATTCACCATCTAGAGTCGTCATACAAAATTACACGTTATAATAGTCGTTGTTCTTATCGATAAAACATAGATATGACAGTTGAACGATGAGAATGTACCTCTTTGTTTGTTCCTCTACATATGCTAATACAAATCATGAAATCACGTATGACTTGCGCGATCTCAGATAAAATATTACTTTGATTAGTGTAATCATATATAAGTTTTGGTTCATTTTTAATTATAATAAATTTGTCGAACAATTGCAACAAAAATGCATAGACATCAAGCAGCAGCTGCAAGAACGATTGTGCTCGATTGTGATGACCTCTTTTTATAGTTCCAGCGGCTGAAGTGTGTGGAGTTGTGATATATAGTCGATAAACCGAATCGTCTTTTCAGTAGCTCGAGTTGTTACTTAACCGAAACTGTTGTTATAATCTGCACACGAAAGGACCCTATGATTAAGGAGAAGATAGTTTAGAATTTAAGAGATACAAAGCACGTGTTCCTTGTAAGAAAGTGGGAAAAATATGTTCTGTATTATTCACAAAGACATATACACATATATATAGATACATAGAAGGCCTAAACCTAACTTATTGTACAAGGAAACATTTAACATAACTAACACCCCCCTCAAACTCAAGGTGGTATAGTGGAGATCAACTTGAGTTTGCTAAGAAGTAAACAAAAGCGACCGGGAATGAGAGACTTCGTGAAGACATCCGCTGGTTGATTTATAGAGGAGACGAAAACAAGCTTCACAGTCCCATGTGCAACATGCTGTCGAATGAAGTGACAGTCAATCTCAATATGTTTGGTACGCTCATGAAAGGTATCATTATGAGACATCTTTATAGCACTCTGACTATCACAATGTAAAGCAGTAGACTCCGGCTGAAGTGCACCAAGATCAACAAGTAGTCGACGCAGCCATAATAACTCTGAGGTGGAATCAGCAAGAGCACGATACTCACACTCAGCACTCGATCTGGAAACCAATGTTTGCTTCTTACTGCGCCAAGAGACAAGTGAATCACCAAGAAATAAGCAATACCCAGTAATAGAACGACGATCAGTAGGATCTCCAGCCCAATCTGCATCAGAATAACCACTAAGCGTCAAAGAAGAATGGGCCGAGAAGTGTAAACCATGCAATAGAGTGCCCTTCACATAGCGAAGGATGTGCAACACAGCAGAATGATGCGTGGTTCTCGGAGCAGCCATAAACTGACTCACAATATGAACAGCATGAGCTATATCAGGCCGAGTGACAGTCAAGTATATCAAACTCCCAACAAGCTGACGATATAATGTAGGATCCTCAAGAAGAGAGCCATCAAGTGGAGTAAGACGAACATCATAATCAAGAGGAGTGGAAGTTGTCTGACAATCAGTGAGACCGGCCCGAGCAAGAAGATCAGAGGCATACTTGGCTTGAGACAAATAGAATCCATCAGACGAATCAGATATCTCAAGACCCAAAAAATAGCAAAGCTGGCCCAAACTCTTCATCTCAAAATGCTGACGAAGATAATCCTGCAAATCGGAAATACCGATAATATCATCCCCCGTGATGATCATATCGTCAACATAGAGTAGCAAAATAATGATCCCGGAGGAGGAGCGCCGAAGAAATAAAGCAGAATCGTGATCACTCGTAGTGAAACCAAACTGAAACAATGCAGAACTGAACGTGGCACACCAAGCACGAGGCGTTTGTTTCAAGCCATACAAAGCTCGACGTAGACGACAAACTTTCCCAGATGACAATGATCCAGGAGGAGGAGTCATGTAAACCTCCTCAGACAAGGCACCGTGTAAGAAGGCATTCTTGACATCTAACTGTAGAAGAGACCATCGACGAATAGCAACAACTGCAAGTAAACACCGGACAGTAGTAAGACGAGCAACCGGTGCAAAGGTCTCTTCATAATCTATGCCATACTCCTGGGAGTAACCCTTAGCAACCAAACGAGCTTTGTAGCGCTCAATAGATCCATCTGAATTTGTCTTGATCTTATACACCCACTTACATCCGATGGGAGTCTTGCCAGCAGGTAAATCCACAAAATCCCAAGTATGAGTCTTTTCTAAGGCCTGTAATTCCTCAGTCATAGCTTTTTGCCACAATGGATCAGCATTCGCCTCACGAAAAGACCGAGGCTCATGATGAGATAGAATGGCCGAATAACAATGATAGTCAAGTAAGTGAGAAGGGGGACGACTTACACGAGTCGACCGTCGCTGATCAATAGCTGGCAAAGGTACAGAATCAGAAGAGGGCTCAGTACGAACTGTCGGTTCATGATGCACAGGTGGAGTCACTTCAGAAGACGGAGGCATGACAGGCGTGTCAATGAGCTGTGAGTCAGAACCTATATCTGTATCTGGAAAAAGATCTGAAGTAATAGACATGAATAAAGGAGACGTCGAATCAAACGGAATGTGAAACTTAGACAAGGAGGAAAAGGTAGTATGCTCCCAAAAGGTAACATGACGCGAAATACGCAACCGATTAGAAATCGGATCCCAACACCTAAATCCTTTGTGTTCTACCCCATAACCC